TTACTACCCCGATTTCTTGATTATTATAAAACCACTTATCCATATTACAAAGTCTACCACCTTTTCTGAATACAATTAGTTTTGTCTTTTCACAATTGACCATCAAATTCCAACGATTACAATAGGACAAACCACTTTCAAGTGACTTCTGCAAACCGGTCCTAGATTCTGAAATGATGGCGGCATTGTCAGTAAATAACAATAAATAAATTTATATTTTGTCGATATTAAGACAAACGTCAACATTTTTTGCAGGTGTAATTCGATATCATGCAAGAACAGGGAGAAAAAAATTGGAGAAGTTATCTCCCCCTGGAATAGACCAATGTTACTATTGAAGACATCATATAACGTTCCTAGATGTTTAACACACAATTTCACCTCATTATACATTGATCTTATAATTGACAGTAATTTGCCATCAATACCTAATTTTATAAGTTTATACCATAACCTTGACCTATCAATACAGTCATATGCTTTTCTATAATCAACGAAACAACAGTACAGTTTATTTTGGTTTTTAATTTGCCTTTGTATCAGTGAATGTAAGATAAAAACAGGATCAACCGTGCTATGACCATTTTTGAAACCAAACTTGGCATCCGACAATACGCAGTTTTCTTCAGCCCACGATTTAAGTCTTACATTTAATATAATTGTAAACAACTTAGAGAGACGGATAGTAAGTGTGATTCCTCTTTAATTGTTTGAATCTGAAATATTGCCCTTCTGATGCAAGGTAATAATAACACCTGTCGCCCATGACTTGGGATATTTCTTCTTATCTAGTATATGGTTAAAAAAAATTTAACGAATGAATTATTTGAGGGACAGATACTTAAAATAATTCATAGAGGATATCATCTAATGAGGGCGTTTTGTTTGCTTCTAGCTTTTTGATAGCTTTCAAGATTTCCTCATTTGTGATACATTCATCTAGCGCCTCAATTGTGCTACTGTCATATATCCCCTCAACTAAATTATTGATAAAATCGTCAAAGTCATTATTTCTACTTCCTCGCTCTCCCTTGACATTAAATTGCAAAAATAATCTTTAAAATCACTAACTGAAATATCTTCCCAACAAACAATAAAATTTGAATATTTTCCAAAATACATTTGGTGATTTCCTCCTTAAATCGTTCAGTTTTCGACAACGAGTATATTTAAAGCATTCTTTGATTTCCTACATTGATATTTATAGTCTTTTCTTTTATTAAAAGGTTTAATTCTATATTCTGAAGAGTAAGATAAATTATATCTGGATACAACATCCTTATACGAAGACAATTTTTGAGAACGTAAATAATCAAACCATTTGTTATTTTTGTTATTGTCACTAAAACAAACTTCACTGTCAACAATATAAGTCTTCTTGAAATACTTATCCCCATGCTCACACAAAAAAATTAATAAAAATAGAACTGTTTTCTCCATTAAGTTCAGACCGTAAATCACTTTCAAGTGAGTTCAAATTCTGAGATATATCTCTCAAAAATAAATCTTAGTATCTTTCATCAAACTTAATACTTGTTATAGTACTACTTATAGGGTCATATAATGGTTCAATATTAGTTTTAAATGAAAACGACAATGTGGCATTGTTGAAAACAATATTGAATTATCCGACTTCAAAATTGTCAAGTAAGCAAAAATTATCTTCATGCGTAAGTAGGTAATCTACTACACTAGTTCCATTATTGCGTGACACAGGTAAAATTCCCACGATCATCCGACCAGCGACCGTTAACTATTCGCTGATTGGTTGCTTTACAGAGATCAAGTAGATAATCACCGAACCGGATATTTTTACACTGCTTATTAATTTCTGTAGTTTCGTACACGAAGGAAGAAAATAAAAAGGCAAACATTTTTTAAAGCCGAAACTTTCCGCTATGAAGTAGGTTCCTTCAGAGTTAAGTGCTCTACTGATAGAGCTATTACGACATTTTCATTACTTACCTTTACAATTATTAGTCAAACATACAATTAATAATATGTGCAACATTTCATTTACCTATATAGTATTATGATGGACTTTTCCGTTCTAAAAATAAATATGAAGAAAATTCTGTTTATCATGCTTGAATTATAGTGTATGATTTTATTAAGCTGCAAGTTGCATACTGATTATACGGTCAATGCACACACTATATCATTTTTGATATATTTTCGGTTTGTTCCCTGATATGTACACGATAAGGTGAGATTGATTTAATATGTGTCCAAAACATAGTTACACTAACCGTTATAGCGCAATAGAGAAAACTATGCATTTATAATTTCTAAATGTTCTACGTTTTGTAGGATCGATATCGCTTATGTCAAGGTTTCATTTTTCTTTTCGTGTATATTTTCAACATTTTGAAGCTATGCTTATTTTTTATGTATTTTATGAATCATTTTGTAAAATATATTCCGACTAAAATTAATAAATGTCATTTCAATGTCGTAAAAAACATATCCAGACACGACAGTGTTGTTTTATATCTGTAAGGACGAATTTGCAAGCACTCGACTATTTCTTTTAAAATAAGCTGCAAAAATAAAACTAAAAAATGCCAACAGTAGAGATCGAACCACATACCTCTCAAGTTTTTGGCAGTTACTTAACCGACAATGCAAGTGTTGGGTGTGACGATCGCCTATACATGAAAGTGATGTGATGTTTCAAACAAATTGTTTTCCCCATATCAATACTCGTAAACTATGCGAATAAACCGAAGTGGTATCGAGATTTAAAATGAGTGTTATAATTTTTGCCAGGTCATCAAAATCAGACTATACTGAAAACGCGTATTTACTTAAAATTAAAGATCTGTTTCATTTATAAAATCTAACGAATCATGCCATGCTGCTGTTTTGCGCTAATTTATCCGGGATTTAAGTCACAAGAAAACGATCAATGTTATGCTTCAATATTTACCGTTCACAATTTCTCTCATTCTGCAGACTTCAGTTATAACTTAATGTTTACATAGAACGAGGTGTTGTTTATTCAGATCAAACAATGGTAGGACATATGTGATATGTTTGAAAGAAGCTAGTCATTTTGTATACAGATCAATACATTCATGCTTTATAACAGTATATTGATTGTTATACCAAATATTGTAAGTTTATTCAATGTCAGATATCGACGTTTTAAAAATATACAGATGTGTTTTTCCCTGATTGAAAATGTTTCCTCGTTCGATTATCACATAATAATCATAGAACTTAAATATCAAAACATATATAACGACAAAGCCATATTAAATTGGTCACATAACCTTAAAAAGAAATATTTGGACTATTCGTGCATAAAAATTTCATATATGCATAAAAATGCATGAAACCCGCTTAAAGCTAAAGACAGTTATTCTGCGCCATTACATAAGGATTCATACGCAATACATATTTAGTTACTCTATCTGAATCGTAATTATGTATAACCTGCTATTTGAAACTTAGTAAGTGTCATGCAAGCCCTTTGAACATAATATCACATCATTCAGGAATGTTGCCTTTATGTTTAAAGTCAATAAAGCATATTTTGTCATGTATTAAAGTTGTAAAAATGGGTATGTTGTAAAATTGTACCTAATAACTGGTTCATGTCAAGTCAAAATGTTTTAAATCATCTCTTCAAAATATTTTTTGATATGTCAGATGAAGGACTACTTGCCATGATCTTCCTTCTGCTTTAACTTTCTTTAAATTCTTTGTTCATAGCAAGCCCAATGATAGAAAAAAAACGGACTTTATCAAACATTTACTACTGTAACTTGTTTTAAGGAAATTGTAAAATTAATATTTGTTTAAAAGATACTAAATGTTTATATTTGTTATATTAAGATAACCCGAATTTAACTGGAATGGATACATATCTTTTTTCAGATCATTACACAATACAATTATTGAAAAATGAACGTGTTTTTTAATTCATTTTTCCCTAAACCCGATAAAAGACAGTTTAATGATAGTAAAGACAGTAACGAGTTATTGAAGAAGGACATTGAGAAACTGGACGATGGGGCACAAACTATCTTAGAGAGCGCCATGAGCAACACAGATCACGTAATAGATGTCAACACAAAGTCTCCTAGCCAAAATGGAATGGATGACGGTAACTATGTCTATCATAGTATTTTATGATGACACTCAAATGTTTAAGCATGACTAAAATAAAATTTGATGGCAGTTCTTGCCATTCTAAAAAGAATGCAAAGGATTTTCTATAATAAAATGTGTAGCACAGTTTATGCCATTACGACATAAAATATAAAGGGTAGTGCTACATGTAAAATGAAATAATAAAAAACAACAACAACAAAAAACAACAAAAACCAACAAACAAACAAAAAAAAAACAAATTCGTTAACTTTCTCTATTAAGTAATTTGCTGAGATTTGCAACTTCTGGTTCTGTTTAACAACCACGCTTCCTCCCACTAAACATTTCATATACTTTAGATCTCAGATTACATTTTCTAGTAAACGGTTTATTTTTTCGTAAGTATTTTTACGTAATAACTAACGGAGCTATACATTCTGTTCAAATTAACGAGCCCAACAATGACAATAACCCTTTTTTTAGATAATACTGACAATATTGCATATTTACATTTGCATATTCATAAAGTGAAAATTAAACAAAAACAAGTAATCGAGGCACCTATGCATATAAAACACTGTAAAATTGAAGTTACCATACTTTGAAGATGCATCAATATCACTATGCTTTTAATATCATTCTTTGGTTTACAAAATGACTTTTTTTCTTATTTATAAGAAATTATACTGTCATTGTTACGAAGGCATTTCTAGCTTATATCGAAAACTTAAAAAAACAAGCATATGAAAGTTAACCATTTCTTTGATCATAAATCAGCTAAAAGAAATTTACAGAGGAAAATCGGCGATTACGGCGTTAACGGCTGAATATTTGTCAATGCGTCACGTGAGTATCCTACATTATTTGAGTGTGTTGTAATTTTCATCTCATCTGTTATTTACACAACGGATCAAATTATCCAGAAATCAAAACCTAGTGTAACTGTTAAGTTTGTTTTTATTCTAAAGTGAAAAAAAAAGTTCAGCATCTGCCCAGGCTGGTTGTTTGTATTACAGAAACAGTTAAAGCAAACAGAGCAACATCGGTGATACAGGATCGATATTTGTCAATGTATGAAGTGAGTATCCTAAATTATCTAAGGGGGTTGTAACTATTATCTGTAATTTACACAAACGACGAATCAAATCATCACGAAATCAAAATGTAATTAAAAAAATACTGGAATGCAATAATCAATAATAATGTCTAATGTTGTTTAAATTTCAGCCGTTGATGGACAGGCAGCTTGTTTGCAAAAACCTCATCATTGACGGAGAATTTATCAGGTAACATACAACAGCTAATTTATTGGACCTTGTTACAGAACACTACCTTAAAATGAATAAAAATGTTTCATAAGTGAACTGACATTTTTTCAATTAAAGGAAAATTATAACTTGCTTAAATAAACGAGTAAAATTGTTGTTTATTCAGTCATGATGAAAGAGAAAAATGCAACATAGGCAAGTTTATTGACAAAAATACCATTGAATTGCATGACAATTTTGAAATTGAGATTGTAAGCCTTGGTAAATTCAGGGATATAGGTAAAAGTTTACATATACATATTATTTTGTGCATCATAAATACATGATATAGTATAGTCCAGTAAATCCATGTGGTCGCATTGTCATGAACCAACGTAACTTTACCTGAAATATGTATCTATATGAATCACGTGAATATATGAAAGTTTTTTTATTTTCATTGATAAATACTTGCCGAAAATTCATTTATAATCTGTCAGCAATACATGACAAGCAAATCATGAAGAATAACAGTATGCTTACTTTATTTTTTTATCTTTTGATGAATATCAGATTATTAATATGATTATTTTACATTGAATACCATGGCTCATTGTTCATACACAATTGTTCATAGTTACGTTTATGTGTCAAATAGTAAACGTAAACCATTTACGATTTCTTACTGAATGTTTTGTTGTTCATCCTTATCAATTGGATATTTGTTTTATTTTTTACAATAAAATAACACAATATTATAATTTTCTAGCTATTGGTGTGGTACAGAGATATGATACTTATAACCCTCTAGGATTAGAAGATGGTGTTTATGGATACCATTCAGAAGGCTTGTATGTGTTTATTATTTTATTGTTTAGATTCAGGATTACGTGACTTTTTAGATATTTTAGTCATTAAACGGAATAGAATATCAGAGAAATATATTATTTCTCAAATCGTATATGTACGTCAGATGCTTCCAAATCAATTGTAATACTTACATTGTCTCCAGCCATGAGTGTTTAATAAGCTAACAAGGTAAAATTAAGGCTGCAATCCAATAAATGTCTTTAAGAGTAACTAAACTACAGTAAATCCGACAAAAAATTGCATAATAGTACTCGTGTATGATTGTATTTCAATTATGTATACACAAATAAACAAAAATATATTTGTTTCATTTCGTGTGCCGTTTTCATATTGAATGCACATAGAAAATGACGTAATTCAACAATAAACTATATTTCACCTGTTTGAATGTTATTTATTTGGTGGTTCAAAGCTATAGAATAAAGAGTGGCTAGCAAAAGAATTGCCACCCGAAAACATGTTCAAGTATTGATTTCTTTTAAAATGTTTCACATATCCTGCTTCCAAGCAATTAATTAATATATTTGTACTAGGGCCGGGAATTATATTCGAATATTCAAAACACTTCCGAATATTCGAACATTGAAAAACGAATACGAATATTCGAAAAAAAAGAAAAGTGTTTTTGTTATTTCTTTCAAATTTCAATTGAGATCGTAAATTAAACCATTGACCTTTACTTAACCAGGTGTTCACACGTTTGTGTGACGCGTGTCAACGATTATTACCAATTAACTGTGAACACTTTTGGATCTAGTTGATCAAAATGGCACCCGTTTCACAGTTTGCAAGTTACCTGTTTAACAGTTTATAATGTAATTCTTTCCGATTTTAATAATCTTATTTATTGTTTTCTGTGCTATTATATTTCCGAATAATCAATAATTGTCTGACGAAAAAATCGACACGCATTAATCAGTGCTTTATGAAAGCATGGTAACTGTCTATATTCCGCCAGAATATATTTATTCCGTAGAACTAGACTCCGTGTGATATTTACTGCGTATAGCTAAATTTATCTGCAGAATATTTTAAACCTTATCTAAAATTATAAATAAATAAAAATATATTTAATACAAGTTAAGTTTCAATATAAATTATGTGTTATTGGGGATAATAGGCTACGATGAGTCATATAACTGTCAATTAAATCGCGTGAGTTACCTCCCGTTAATAAGACAAATGATCAGGAGTCGGATTAACTGAACCAAAGGCAATCAAATTATGAATTTATTTCAAAAGTAAACATATTTGTCGATTTACAATATATAAAATAAAAAACTTTTACGTAGAAATAAAGGTATTTTTAATCGTCGATTATTCCAAGCATATTAAAGAAGTATAGCATTCGACGCAATCAATTTCGGATACGTGTACGTCAAAGAGAAATATTGGAACAAATGTTGTAAAAACGAATATTCGAATATATTCGAATATGGAACACGAATATTCGAACATGAAATTCCTCATTCGTTCCCAGCCCTAATTTTTACTATCAAGACATACACTTGTATACCAAAATTATTTGCATTGAATAAACTATACTTAATACTCAGCGATTTCATATCAGATGCCAAAATTAACATTTATAGAATCATGATAATAATGTTTTAATCTTTGTTAGGTTACTTTCGATTATACAAGTTTTCTAATCTGTTTAGCTCTATTTACCGAAAAGGTTCAGTACCTCTTTGCTAAAAAATGATAATGACAATTCATTTACGAAAATTGGGCACCGTCCGTTGACAACAGTGCCATTTCGGTTATATACCTTATAAGTACTAATTTCTTCGGGCTTAATATTCTGCGATTTTTGTTAAAATAAGGGGTTTTAAATTTCTGCGTATCCTTTTCCGCAGAAAATTAAGCCCAAGGAATTAAGTACTGTACAGAGTAATAATTTTTGATGTTTTAAAACTCTTTTTCCACATAATTATTACAATTGACGATTATGTGAACAGAGGAATAGGAAATGGATGATCAATACTTAATTTTGAAATGAAAGAAACATTTTGCAAATAATTGTTTTCAACATAATTAAGGGCAAAACTTACATGTAATATATCTTGATTTACATTACACATGCCGGTAAACAACGAGGTAATTTGGCATGTAGGATATTAACATATTTTTCATCGATTTTCATGCTTTATTATGAAAAAAAATATCGAACTTAACAAATTCAGCATTAAGAAAAACAAAAGTGTTTTAATGCTTTTGTTTGCTTATGATATATTCTTTTTTAAGCGTTCATACAAATGGAAGGGTAGGCTGTTGGAATTTTGGAGATTCTTGGCGAGTGGGAGATCGAATCAGATGTATAATGTAAGTAACCTTAAAAAACATTTCTACACTGAAACAAACGTTATTTGTTTGTAATTGTGTGTTACATAAAGATAGATAAAAGTAGATTAAGTCTTAGGATTGTTTATCACACATGAATTTTGTGAAACATTTATGAAACTTCGTTTTAAATATACCGAAATATAATGACAGTTTTTCTATACTAAATGTCTTACATGTGTCTTATGTAATTAGTATCACGAATCACATAAAATCATATATCGAATGTCATCAATCATATAATTCAAATGTATAAGCTATAATCAAACAAAACATTCGTTTACATGCAATTCATCTATCATTGATAATCTAAATTGATAATAAAGCCCCCCAATATGCCTCTGGAATGTCTTCATGTACGTTTCTTAAACGCTTTTTAAATTTTGGCGAACTTTTATAGTATCCAAAATGTTACTTATTACTTATTGGCCATTTACCTGAACTATCATTTTCATCTGTTGCCTTTTGACATTAAGATCAGTTATAGTGTTAAAGTAGTTTGTATGGAAGTCAATATAATAATTTGTTTAAATTCTGCTACTTATATGACAAATTATTACACATTAATCGCAATTTTTCCATGTCACACGCATCTTAGGCATAACGTGCCTTTAATGTATCAACAGTATTACAATTAATAATCTTATACTAAAGAATCAACTTTATTATGTTATCTCCCTTTTTCAGCTATCACCAAATATATAAATTAAATACAAAACTTATATATTGTTATCATCAATCAAATAATACTTATATCAACTTTTATCATACAAATTATTATTACCCCTTACTTTTTGTGTAAAGCTAATTTCCCGGATGCCACTGGAAGTTATTCATACTGTTAATGCAAGTGTACCATACGACTAGGAAATTTGTACTGTTACATAGGTAACAGTACTTTTATTTAGTAAAAAATCTGGCCATGTGGTCTATTTGCTACAGAAAACGAAATTTTGTTACAGTTAGATTTTGGTTGACAATTTCAGATCTCGGGGTAATTAAATAATTGCACATAAGTTTGTGAGTAACATTAAAATACCACCCTCGTAAAAATACGCTATCGCCTCGGGTAACAGTGTTTTCCTTGGGATGCTATTTTTGTTGTTACTCACAAACCCATGTGTTATTTACAACATATTAATTGTCATCAGTAATGAAAAACTCAAAAAGGTATCGATTATTTCTATGGAAAGTCAAAAATGACGATAAAATTTTTTTCAGAAAATATATCCGTATTTTAAGATGAATAGCCTGAGTATTTCACTTCACTGCTGTTTTCTTATTTAAAATATCTGACGAGGCATAGCCGGCACAGTGAGAACTAGAAATGTGTCCATAGGACACGGGTGCCCCACGCCACTGTTCTGTCAATCTTATGACTCTAGGTAATATTTTTTGGACTACATATGCCACAAGTTGAAAACTAAAAATCTTTTACTAAATAAAGGGCAAGAACTTTACAAATACTGAATAAATCAACAAGCAAACTTAGAGGTGCATAAGTACACATGCTGACCAACATTCTTGTAAACTATCAGGCCTACAATTCAAATACTTTTTGGGCTATGCATGAACATGTTAAAATTGAAACTCTATAAAACTGTAAGTCAAGGGCAATAACTCTATCAAAACTGAAAAAATCCACACGCAAAGTCCCAGGTGCAAAGCTTCACAGTGATGTTGATCATGATTACTGTAAAGTTGGTTGATTCTAACTCAAGCACTCAAGGAACAAATAACACAACATAATGAAACGGTTTTTACTAAGTCAAGCGCAATAACTCTAAAATACTGGATAAATCCACACGCGAAACCCAAGGTGCACAACTTCCGAGCTGATAAACATCCCTGTTAAGTTTCATGACCCCAGGTTAAATACTTTTTGAGCTACATGCGACACAAGTTGAAAATTGCAAATTTTTACTAAGTCTATTAAAACAGATTAAATCAACAAGCGAAACCCCATGGACAACCACACATGCTGAGCAACATTCCCGTAAGGTTTCATGACTTGAGGTCAAATTCTTTTTGAATTACATGCG